AACTGAACTAGAACTGAACTAGAACTGAACTAGAACTGAACTGGAACAAGAACTGAACTGGAACAAGAACTGAACTGAGCTGGAACCGAACTAGAACTGATGAAGATCTCAACTAGAACTAAACTTCAACTTTTTTAAAGATTATAAGGAGTCTATTTAAATTATTTAAACAATACAAACAACTGTGCTCGTTTTCAATAATTTGTTTAAAGAGAATTTAACACATTACAAAAAAAAAAACATTTTGTTATGGTTACTGCATTAACTCCTGGCATATAATTTGTGTTATTATTTGCTTTTAGCACATACTTACAAACTCGGGTTTGAGAACAAGATGTTAAAAGGAGATCATACTAACGAACTTAACAAGTATGTATGAGAAAAATTTTAATCGAAAGATAAGCATGTGGTCTAAACAGGAATGTTGTTACAAAAAACATTGACCATCTTTAATATTGTTTGATTTTCACATGAGACCTATGAGATACATGATGCACCTAAGCCCTTTGCAGTTTAGAAGTTGATCAGTCGTATTTGAACTGTAAAGAGTGAAACATTCTTGAGAAGTAAAGCGCAGCAAAAGGGTTTGATTTTGTTTCTCTAAAATGGCTGCTGTAAAACTGGTATTAATTTTATTATTGTGTGCCGAAACACTGCAAGTTAAAGGTATGCGTACTAATAATGAGGAAGAAGAACCAGAAACACTTGATGCACACATTGTTTACGATCAAAGACAGAGTGGCAAATATAATATTCATGTTGTTATTAAAGATGTGGCGATTATAGAAATGGATCAAAATGAAATTGCTGATGTAAGTAGAGATACTATTGATATCAAATTATTTATTCGTTAATGTAAAAAAACTTTATTAATTTAGTTAAGAAATTATTAAAATTTTATTTAACAATTTATTATATTTTCCAGCAAAATTACAATGATGATGAATACTACTACGATGAAGATGATTTGACTGTAAAACCTTTGATCACCAAGACCACTACAACAACAACTAATAAACCTTTGGACACTACAACAACAAAGAAAACTACAATTTCTTCTACAGAAAATGAAAGTATTGTGCCAACAACATCTACAGCAGTCCCCACAACCACGATTAAGAATAAAATTCCAAATAACGAAGAACATTTTAACATGTATTCATTATTACAGCAGCCAGCAGTTGATACCAAATCACGTAGCAAAATCGAACCAATATATGCAATTGAAGAATCTACTATGCTACAACCCAGACATCAATTGGATAATTTTAATTATAAAATGCCAGCACAATCTAGAGATGAATCGAAATTATTTAAAAATTCAAGAATTTATAAAGTAAAAGTACGTCGCTCCCATCACATTACACCTCAAGCAATTCGTTGTCGTACATTTCAATATAGAGATGCTAGGGGTAATTGCCGCTCAAAAAGATCTTCGTCTGGATCAATACTGTAAGATATTAACTATGTATTTTGTAATTTAGTAACATGAGCATTTTCCAAAATTGGTTTTCACAAAAATAAAACTTATCTGATTCAGCGAAATATTTCTTCGATTATGCATTCGAATTGATTTAAATTAGAAATTTTTCAAAACATTTTTATACAATCTTTATATCATGAACATCAATGTTAATTTTTACTGCAAGAAAATTTATAAGTTTTTCCAAATTTGAACTTAAAAATTACAACATACTTAAAAAAACATTAAACTTTAGAGTACATTTTCTTCAAATTTCTTCTCTGTTTCCCAGATATCCTTTTTTGGTTGTCGATAGCTTACCAGTTTCCATCCTTTTTGGGAACTTTTCTAGTTCAGTTCAGTTCTGTTCTAGTTCAGTTCTAGTTCAGCTCTAGTTCATTTCTAGTTAAGTTCTAATTCAGTTCTAGTTCAGTTCTAGTTCAGTTCTAATTCAGTTCTAGTTCAGTTCTAGTTCAGTTCTAGTTCATTTCCAGTTCATTTCCAGTTCATTTCTAGTTCATTTCTAGTTCAGTTCTAGTTCAGTTCTAGTTCAGTTCTAGTTCAGTTCTAGTTCAGTTCTAGTTCAGTTCTAGTTCAGTTCTAGTTCAGTTCTAGTAGTTCTAGTTCAGTTCAGTTCTAGTTCAGTTCTAGTTCAGTTCTAGTTCAGTTCTAGTTCAGTTCTAGTTCAGTTCTAGTTCAGTTCTAGTTCAGTTCTAGTTCAGTTCTAGTTCAGTTCTAGTTCAGTTCTAGTTCAGTTCTAGTTCAGTTCTAGTTCAGTTCTAGTTCAGTTCTAGTTCAGTTCTAGTTCAGTTCTAGTTCAGTTCTAGTTCAGTTTCTAGTTCAGTTCTAGTTCAGTTCTAGTTCAGTTCTAGTTCAGTTCTAGTTCAGTTCTAGTTCAGTTCTAGTTCAGTTCTAGTTCAGTTCTAGTTCAGTTCTAGTTCAGTTCTAGTTCAGTTCTAGTTCAGTTCTAGTTCAGTTCTAGTTCAGTTCTAGTTCAGTTCTAGTTCAGTTCTAGTTCAGTTCTAGTTCAGTTCTAGTTCAGTTCTAGTTCAGTTCTAGTTCAGTTCTAGTTCAGTTCTAGTTCAGTTCTAGTTCAGTTCTAGTTCAGTTCTAGTTCAGTTCTAGTTCAGTTCTAGTTCAGTTCTTCAGTTCTAGTTCAGTTCTAGTTCAGTTCTAGTTCAGTTCTAGTTCATTTCTAGTTCAGTTCTAGTTCAGTTCTAGTTCAGTTCTAGTTCAGTTCTAGTTCAGTTCTAGTTCAGTTCTAGTTCAGTTCTAGTTCAGTTCTAGTTCAGTTCTAGTTCAGTTCTAGTTCAGTTCTAGTTCAGTTCTAGTTCAGTTCTAGTTCAGTTCTAGTTCAGTTCTAGTTCAGTTCTAGTTCAGTTCTAGTTCAGTTCTAGTTCAGTTCTAGTTCAGTTCTAGTTCAGTTCTAGTTCAGTTCTAGTTCAGTTCTAGTTCAGTTCTAGTTCAGTTCTAGTTCAGTTCTAGTTCAGTTCTAGTTCAGTTCTAGTTCAGTTCTAGTTCAGTTCTAGTTCAGTTCTAGTTCAGTTCTAGTTCAGTTCTAGTTCAGTTCTAGTTCAGTTCTAGTTCAGTTCTAGTTCAGTTTCTAGTTCAGTTCTAGTTCAGTTCTAGTTCAGTTCTAGTTCAGTTCTAGTTCAGTTCTAGTTCAGTTCTAGTTCAGTTCTAGTTCAGTTAGTTCAGTTCTAGTTCAGTTCAGTTCTAGTTCAGTTCTAGTTCAGTTCTAGTTCAGTTCTAGTTCAGTTCTAGTTCAGTTCTAGTTCAGTTCTAGTTCAGTTCTAGTTCAGTTCTAGTTCAGTTCTAGTTCAGTCCTAGGTTCACCACAGCTTCTTCGTTCCGAAAAGGCGCGGATCGTTTCAAACAATATTTGTTTTTTTTCCAGAAGAAAACCTCGGCCCACTGGATCTCAGTAACAACAACTTTCACTATCTTAGACATCTTATACTTTGAGTTTTTAATAAAAATTATTAAATCTAAAACACAAATTTAATTCTGTAAGAAATACTCATACATATAAATATTTGTAGTTTTTTTATTAAACTCTATTTCTTTTTCTTTTTATTATTTTTTGCTCTTTTAAGAAAGCGTCTCTTCAGAATGCTCGTAACACTGCCATTTAATCAGGATGAACAACAAATTGACGATTAAATTATGCACAACAAAAACACAAATTAAATAAAAATTAACTTCTGTTAAGTTAAACATAACACTTGATTTTGTAAAACAAACTAAATATATAACAAAAAAGTTGTATAAAAATCACTTAAAAAATATTTAAAGCAATTTTATACAAATTTTTTTTTAGGACTAGATATTAGTCGTTCCACAAAAATTAATTAAATAATTTTATAAAGACAAAAAGTTTATGTGAAAAATTTCAGTTCGAAAAAATAAATTAAAATCTTTTCATTTGCTCAATATTTTTCCATTAAGGTAACGATGTAATTCTTAAAGAAACAAAGGCATATATTTTTCCAGATATGATTTAAATACATAAATAATTTATAATAGTTTAATAGTGGATTTATATAAACAATATATAATACTTTACAATAAGATATGTACAATCTACAAAAAGACTTTTATTAAAATAAAATAATCAAATCACCAAAACAGAAGAACAATGTATGTATTTTTTTTTTTTTTTTGTTAAAAGCACTGCCTTATAAAAGGCATGATGCGCTACTGTCTTAAAAATAAACACTAAAAACAACAATTATAAATGTTGTAATGTAAATAACTAGGTTAAAAATATTCATTTCAAAACGATTCGAAATTTTATCTTTTTTTTTAATATTTGGTTTAGTTGGTTAACTTAAATAAAACTTAGAGCAGGGAGTAAAATAAAAACAAACCACAGACAAGAATTTAAAAAATTTTAATATTTTCGTTGTAAAACAAAATTAAAAAGTCAAAAATGCTAGAGTTAAAATGTAAAATTGTAAATAGCCTTAAAGGAGACAAATGGACAACACAAAATGGAACGTAAATTTTGAAATCTTAATAAGGTAAATAAAAAAAAAACAGATTTAAAATGCAATCTATGTAAAGTTAAAATTATAAATAGTTAGTTGTTGGAGTAGTAAAAATTGTTAAAAAATAAATTTCCTATTTAATAATGTTATCGAACAAAATATAACAATTCTCTTAATCAGCATACATTGTTGTATGTATGTGTTTTAACATTATGTATATTGCGCGTTAAATCCTTAACTATTTTTTATAACTATTGAAAAATTCAAACATTATTAACTAATGTCTTTTAACGTAACTATAAAACGACATTAAAGCACGTATGGGGCAAGGAGCACGTTCATATACACCACGATGTCGTTGTAATAGAAATAAATGATGAGTTCTTTTTTGAAGGTAAAGTTGAGATAGTGAAAGACAGCTTTTACAGTTACTAGTTGCAATGTCATTCAAGTTTCCAATGTAAAAAATTCTTTATAACAATAGTATGACAGTATGCTTACCTTATTTAACTGCCCTATGTTAAAATGTATGTTTTGTGACTGATGACTGATGCCTTAGAAAGATTTGTTTTTTTTTTTTTCTCTTTTTTTCATAAGTATTCATTAGTTGTAGTCATATTTAAGGTATACCCGGTAAGCCAGTACAACTTTGTCTTTGCTGTTGTTGCTGCAACATATTAGCTCGTACTCTTTGCTGTTCGAGTCGTTGTACAGATGCGGTAAGATGCGAATTCTCTACATATAAATCTTTAACTAAAATATCAGCATTTTGTAAACGCTGTACTTGTTCGGCAATTAAAGCTCCTTGAGCCTCTAGGCGACCATGTAAATCATTTAGCTCGATTTGATGATGACGCCAAGATTCTGAAAATATTGGTATAAATTCTTTTAAATTTCAATTCCCTTAATAAATTAAGTTCAACAAAACCTACGTTGCATTATAGATTCCGTATACTGTTGCTGTTGTTTGACAACGTTTTGTAAATGCCTATTCTTCAGTTCAAGTTGATTGACTCTTTGTATTAAAGAAGGATGTGAGGTGCGCTTTGAATTGTTTTAAAGAAAATTATTTAAATATTCAAATATATCTTATTCAAATTAAATATAAACTAATACTTACCGCATAAGCCTTTTCTAATACTGGTTTAGCTTCTTGCAATTGCTGCAATTCCATAATTAAACCATCTCGTTGTAAAGACAAATCCTTAATTTGTTCTTTCAATGAAATTTCAAAATATTTCAAACGTTTAAGCTCATCTTTTAAAACGCTAGGCGTGGGACTAGGTGAACTATTTTTAGTACTGCTAATGGATTTAGTTGCCGATTGATTGTTTCGTTGTTGATGTTGATAGCTTTGATTGGAGTGTATACTGTGCGTTTCAAAGCTTTTACCCGATGCTGTTGATGAGGTTTCACAATCGGCCACATCACCAGCCTCCGATTGAGTTGATTGTGTTTGAGATTGTGTTGTGGGCTTTTCGATGGGCGACTGTAGAGGTGTTGTGCTGAATATAGTGGTCTCGGAAGTAGATAAATTGCCGCTAGAAATAGTGGAATAGTTCAAGGTTAGATAGATAGATAGATAGATAGATAGATAGATAGATAGATAGATAGATAGATAGATAGATAGATAGATAGATAGATATCTAATAGATCGCATCGATAGATCTAGCTCGCTCGCCGCTCGCTCGATCGCTCTCGCTATCTCGCTCGCTCGCTCGATCGCTCGCTCGCTCGCTCGCTCTCGCCTAGCTCGCTCGCTAGCTCGCTCGCTCGCTCGCTCTCTCGCTCGCTCGCTCGCTCCTCGCTCGCTCGCTCGGTCGCTCGGTCGCTCGCTCGCTCGCTCGCTCGCTCGCTCGCTCGCTCGCTCGCTCGCTCGCTCTCGCTCGCTCGCTCGCTCGCTCGCTCGCTCGCTCGCTCGCTCGCTCGCTCGCTCGTCGCTCGCTCGCTCGCTCTCTCGCTCCTCGCTCGCTGCTCGCTCGCTCGCTCGCTCGCTCTCGCTCGCTCGCTCGCTCGCTCGCTCGCTGCTGCTCGCTCGCTCGCTCGCTCGCTCGCTCGCCTCGCTCGCTCGCTCGTCGCTCGCTCGCTCGCTCGCTCTCTCGCTCGCTCGCTCGCTGCTCGTCTCGCTCGCTGCTCTCGCTCGCTCGCTCGCTCGCTCGCTCGCTCGCTCTCTCGCTCGCTCGCTCGCTCGCTCGCTCGCTCGCTCGCTCGCTCGCTCGCTCGCTCGCTCGCTCGCTCGCTAGCTCGCTCGCTCGCTCGCTCGCTCGCTCGCTCGCTCGCTCGCTCGCTCGCTCGCTCGCTCGCTCGCTCGCTCGCTCGCTCGCTCGCTCTCTCGCTCGCTCGCTCGCTCGCTCGCTCGCTCGCTCGCTCGCTCGCTCGCTCGCTCGCTCGCTCGCTCGCTCGCTGCTCGCTCGCTCGCTCGCTCGCTCGCTGCTCGCTCGCTCGCTCGCTCGCTCGCTCGCTCGCTCGCTCGCTCGCTCGCTCGCTCGCTCGCTCGCTCGCTCGCTCGCTCGCTCGCTCGCTCGCTCGCTCGCTCGCTCGCTCGCTCGCTCGCTCGCTCGCTCGCTGCTCGCTCGCTCGCTAGCTCGCTCGCTCGCTCGCTCGCTCGCTCGCTCGCTCGCTCGCTCGCTCGCTCGCTCGCTCGCTCGCTCGCTCGCTCGCTCGCTCGCTCGCTCGCTCGCTCGCTCGCTCGCTCGCTCGCTCGCTCGCTCGCTCGCTCGCTCCTCGCTCGCTCGCTCGCTCGCTCGCTCGCTCGCTCGCTCGCTCGCTCGCTCGCTCGCTCCTCGCTCGCTCGCTCGCTCGCTCGCTCGCTCGCTCGCTCGCTCGCTCGCTCGCTCGCTCGCTCGCTCGCTCTCTCGCTCGCTCGCTCGCTCGCTCGCTCGCTGCGCTCGCTCGCTCGCTCGCTCGCTCGCTAGCTCGCTGCTCGCTCGCTCGCTCGCTCGCTCGCTCGCTCGCTCGCTCGCTCGCTCGCTCGCTCGCTCGCTCGCTCGCTCGCTCGCTCGCTCGCTCGCTCGCTCGCTCGCTCGCTCGCTCGCTCGCTCTCTCGCTCGCTCGCTCGCTCGCTCGCTCGCTCGCTCGCTCGCTCGCTTCGGTCGCTCGCCGCTCGCTCGCTCGCTCGCTCGCTCGCTCGCTCGCTCGCTCGCTCGCGCTCGCTCGCTCGCTCGCTCGCTCCTCGCTCGCTCGCTCGCTCGCTCGCTCGCTCGCTCGCTCGCTCGCTCTCGCTCGCTCGCTCGCTCTCTCGCTCGCTCGCTCGCTCGCTCTGTCGCTCGCTCGCTCGCTCGCTCGCTCGCTCGCTCGCTCGCTCGTCTCGCTGCTCGCTCGCTCGCTCGGTCTCGCTCCTCGCTCGCTCGCTCGCCTCGCTCGCTCGCTCGCTCGCTCGCTCGCTCGCTCGCTCGCTCGCTCGCTCGCTCTCGCTCGCTCGCTCGCTCGCTCCTCGCTCGCTCCTCGCTCGCTCTCGCTCGCTCGCTCGCTCGCTCGCTCGCTCGCTCGCTCCCGCTCGCTCGCTCGCTCGCTCGCTCGCTCGCTCGCTCTGTCCGCTCGCTCGCTCGCTCGCTCGCTCGCTCGCTCGCTCGCTCGCTCGTCGCTCGCTCGGTCGCTCGCTCGCTCGCTCGCTCGCTCGCTCGCTCGCTCGCTCGCTCCTCGCTCTCCTGCTCGCCTTCGCTCGCTCGCTCGTGCTCGATCCGCTAGCTCGCTCGCTCGCTCGCTCGCTCGCTAGATAGATAGATAGATAGATAGATATATCTCAAAGGAGGGATTCATAATTATAACCCTGGACCTATATGTTATCCCTTCTAAACACCATATCACCGAGCCTCAGATCGGAATATCTGAATTGCTCAGTTTACGGGTCATAATATTTGTTCAGATTCATAATTTTAATTGATTACAATGATCACAATGGATCATATGGTATCCGAGTAAGGATACCATCAAACAAAATGTCTCACGGAAGACCTTCTCTTAAGCAACTGGCTTTATCTTATAAAATATTAAAGGAAATAGCTTTCAATTTCCAAAGAGCCAGTCAAGCGGCTAGTCGATGGTATCTACATGACATCAACATGGTTCTTGAATGTTGGACAACCAAAGTGGGGAGTGTACTAATTATGTTTCGAAAATTGTTATTTCTTTAGCAACAGATGAGACTAAGAGTATATCGATATCCATGCTCGATTCGAGATAAAATATCACGAGCATGTAGAGTTTAGGTAATTAATCGAGCCTATATGTAAAAAAGTGAAGATCATGTGGCCAACAAGACTTCCAGGAGCTCAGCTACGGAATACTAACGGAATAGTTTGCGGTCACTGGCCTTTATGTCATAAGTTTTAATCTCCTAGAAACGACTAATGACGAAAGGGTTTAGATCCTGATTAAGTGCATACGCAGTAATGTAAACATGCGAACAACATGTTCACCTAACCTAGAACATTTCTTTGCATAGTCTGGTAGGAGGTGGTAGGTTCGATTCCCACCTGATGCACTGCTAAAGGAGCGCACAACAGGCCCGATTTCTTCGGATTTAATGTATATACATGCTCCTTTCAAACTAACTAACTAACAGCAATCACACCTCCAAGTGTATTTCCGATAGTAGCAAATGTGCTGGCAAATCTGCATTACCTTTAAACCAAATATTACAATATTTGCAAGGCTTGCAAAAATAGTTTGCTATGATGAGTGATTACATCTATTCTGTGTGAGTTTTGCAAGTTTTATTTAACAAACTGCATGTTTTATTAGCTAAACTTGCAATGTTAAAAAATCTTCTAAGTATGGTTTGTGTGATGATTTGACACCTCCACTTTGTAGTTGTTTTCTTACAAACTTTAAAATCCAAGATAGATTTACTATGTTTACAAGGTATTCAAGTACTCATAACATTTAAAGCGAATGTTTTATTAGCCAGAGATTCTTCAATAAGATTTGGTTTTGTATCAAACCCAAGAACTTAAAAGTTCCTGGAATGCAATTTATTGTAGCATCCAATGATAAAAGAGGAACAACATACCACAATGCGAATAAAACCGATTAAAATAAATTATATCGCGGTAATAACATTCATCATGAAACAAAACAGACTTTAACAAACAAAGTGAAAATTTCGTTTAAAGTCAATTTGAAAGCCAAGCAATTTATAATTAAAAACAACAAAATACAGGATTTATTTTATAAATTTATTATATAGAAAATGCCCCTAGTTATAGGGGCATTAATTTAATTCTAAAGTAAATAAAAAACACACTAAAATAATTTTTATTTTATTTACAAAGACTCTCGAGAGATTCTTGCTAATTAATACAAAGCAAATTTGCACTAAAGTGTCAGAAAAGTTATATCATCGTCTAAATCAGAAGATAATTTTGATTTATGTCAAACTTTAGGTCATAAATGAAAACTCGTTTATATCAATAAGATTTATTATTTTCTTTATTTACTAGGATTTTTATTTAAAAGGTTATTTTTTATAGTCAAGTGACTTTTTGAGATCATTTTTTTTTTTGTTATGTTACGCTTAAGAACTTTTAGTTCAAAGCGTTTTAAATGTATTTTTAGACTAAGCATTTAGCTAGAAATTATATATTACCGATCAACCGATTTAAAAGACGTTTAGAGAATTGCAAGGGCGGGTTTTGAGATTTCAAGGGAAAGGAGCAGCTAAAATATTTTATAGGGAAGGGATTTAATAAAAAAAATATAATCATATTAAGGCTAATGAAAACACTTAAGCTTTTTATGCATAACTTGTCGTCAAAAAGTGGCAAAAGCTTAAACGGATATATAGAGAACGAAAATGAAGAGTTTTTCTAAATTGTGTGGTACTCACCGTACAGTTTGATTGCTCACCGGCAACATAGAACCCAATGCTGTTATATTCGTTTCTAAAGGCTGGCAGTTTTTGGCCGGTTCTTGTATAGTGCTCTGGTGCCATAAATAGCTAATGGGAGAATTAGCTGGACTACCAGCTTCGGTCAAACTAGTATTGTTAGCTACGGTTTCGGGTTTAAGTTCATAAGCTCCCGTTAAAATCTCTACACTTTCACCTAAACGTATACGTAAATCTTCGATTTCGTTTTGTAAAGCTTCAATTTCTTGTGATTTTTCTTCAAACATTTTACGAGCATTTTCTCGTATTTCTTCAGCCTCAGCTTCTAAATCAGCATATTGCTGTTCGAGGGCATCTTTCTCTTCGATAGGTGAAAGGCGGCCATCTTTGCTGAATTGTTCCTCGTACTCACGTACCTTTTCCATGAGTTCGGTAAACTTTTTATCACTCTCTTGCTGTTCTTCTTCATAAATTTGTCGCTCTTTTTCGAATAGATTTCTCTCTTCGGTTAGTTTAGCTTGCCAGTAATCTTCACAATCTTCATAAGCTTTTTGCATTTGCTCTAGACTGGCTTCTAGTTCTTTGCAACGTTCTTCGTGGCTGACATTTGCAGAAGATGTTGAGGGAGTTTGTGTTAGCAGTTTCTCTTTAGCCTGTTTTAATTGTTCTTCTAATTCTGAGATTCTTTTCCTGAGTGTTTCTATTTCAGAGGATTTTGTTTGAGAATTATGTAATTCTGAATTCAAAGCCATCCATTCACCACTTGTATCACTATTTTCACTACAAGTATTGTTGGCATCATTGGTACATTTCCTTAGTTTACCCAAACGAGGACTCTCTTCAATGAGCCTGGTCTTGGAGGGAGAATCACCACGTCTTTTAGTTGCTGTACTGGAAGAGCTCATTTCATTTTCATCTAAATCTTGATTGGTCGTTTCCTGATTAATTGTTAATTTTTTCCATTTCATTTTCATTTTATTAAGATCATGATTTAGAGTTTCTACTTCTGCTATTAACTCATCATTTTTATCTCTTAGATTGCAGTTTTCAACTTGTAAAGTGGATACTTTTTCCACTAAACGTAAAACCTCCTCATCATCGTTGGACTTATCGAATTGTTGTTTACGTCTTTCACAATGATTAGTTTCATCCATTTCGGTTAGTTCACGCTGCAATTCAATATTCTTTTCTAATAATTCGGTTATTTGTTTTTGCATTTTTTGTTTTTCTCCCTCCAAGTCTTCATTTTCACGGCGCACTAGTTCTAGCTCGGTTTTTATCTTGATCTCTTCTTGTTCAAAAATTTTCAGTTTCGATTCTAAGCGAGTATTAAGATTACACCAGTTTTCACGATCATTAGCTAAGCGTGCTGTTAAATCACGTACTACACCAGCATGTCTTTGTTCTAAAAGGCGTATCTGAAAGTTAAAGAGTAGTAAAAGTTAATATTGATGTTTGGGGTTTAGTTAAGCTTAAAAGAATGTACCTCTTTTTTGGTGGCATCTTCCAAAGAAGCATGTCTTTCATCTATTTCAGCCGCCAGCAGAGAAATACGTCTATTGGCATCTTTATTATCTGCTCTTAACTTGGCATTTTCATCACGCAGTTGTTTGGAAAATTGCCTAAGACTACCAAGTTCTTCGGTTTGTAGCACTAAACAGGCTTTCATTAAAGCCATTTGTGGTTCATCTTCAAGATTTGAGATTTCCTCTTCCATTACCTTGTTCAGTTGAGCTATATTGATTTCATCATTATCAAAGCCTAAAGCTAATAATATACCACGACCATTGGGTATTGAAGCACGTTCCCATATATCTAGAATGCTGTTTATGGGTAAAGTTTCCATCAAACCTGGTGATTCTATTATTTCAAAAAACAAATTAAATTTTGTAAATTTTAATTATTAAAAAAAAAAAAACAAATACAAAAGGTAGTGACTAAAAAACCACAAATTCATGAGTTAGATTTGGAAAAAAAAGAAATAAAATCTTAAGTTTTGTAAGGATTTTTATGAGTTTAAAAGTAAATCAATTTGTTGTAATAAGTAGACTGAGCTAATAGGCCTTGTGTTGTAGAAAAAGGTCCAGTTAAACCTTTACCAAACTTAACTAAACAATTTGATTTTATTTTATACTCAAGAAATCCCAAATAATTTTGTTTTTTTTTTTGGAACTAGTTACTCTAAAACCAAAATGTACAAAAAAAAAAGAAAAACTAAAAAGATGTATGAAAGAGATTTTTTAGTGTAAATTTTGTTTAAGTGCTTTGAAAAAGAAAAGTAGTAGAATGGTAGGATAAGATACTGAAATAGGGTGCCAAATTGTTTATTTTTTGTTTATACTACAACTAGCCACTCTTAAAAAAGAGCGTGCATATTTATACCACCAGCCGTTTTTTTTTTTTTTATTTTTTTAATTTTTCTTATAAATCAATGCCAAATAATTTGATTTAGTTGAAAACAAAACAAACCTTTAGCCAAATATCCAGTTTTAAAATGACTTTTGCTTAACTCCCAGTCATAGGAACTCCAAACAGCGTGCATGGCAGATGTAAGATTTTTCAAACCTATATTTTTAGATATATTTTAGATACGGTGAAGTTGTTGTAGGTGAATATAAACGTTTGTTTAGAGATGAAAGACAAAAACAAAACTAATCAACTTAATAGAAATGCAAAAGCATAATTTACAATCACAACGTAGCAGAAACACTAATATACATACATTTATGTAAACGGTGGCCAACTATAGTAAGAATACTAATATGAATGAAAAGCACAAAATTCAAATTCAATTGCAGCATTTGGTTACGCTTTTTAATGTCTTTAATAAGCCAACCGTAGTCTAAAAACATGACTTACGCGAGCCTAAGTTTTAATGTATGTTTGTTTGGAATGAATTTGTTTAAAATGAAGCAGTAAGTAAGTTAATGGCAATAAATATTTAAGTGCATTTTTTGTTTAAATATAATAATGAAGAAGACATAGATTTTGTTTAAAGTGAAATGGAAATTCGTTTGATTGTATTAACAATGACATCTAAACCTAAAAGCCTAAAGCTGTGTTTAATGAATTTCCTTTTAAAGAAAAGTTAATTCAAAAAAAAAAAAATAATCCCAATTTATATTTATAACTTAAGAATCCGTTAAGAGTATTGAAAGTTTAGTGTGAAGTGTGAGCGAAAAAATATGTTTTAAACAAAAGCTTTGATGTTTTTCATTTTGGAAAGTAATAAATAGGACAGACACAATTATGTAAAAGTAAATTTGATACATACCTAAGGATTCTACGCTGCTGCTGAGGGTATTTTTTGTTATTGGTACCAGTGAGTCTTTAACCAGGCTTCCTTTGTTAGTTACCAATTTGGTTTTATTGGCATTGAAAAGATTTCTTTGGGCTGGTAATGAAGCACATCTTTTCAATTTACTTTCTGTTACGCCGGAAGTAGCACAACGTCTTCTTGAACCGGGTATATCGGTTTGTGAAGTTGATCTTTTAACTTGTTGCGTTGTGCAGCCTCTGTGAGAATCTTGTTCTTCATTGGAATCATCAGAATCAGAGGCCGTTTGTTCATTGGGTGTTCTTTGTGTCTGTGGCCGGGAACGGCGACCATACTTTTTGCTGCCCACCACCAGTTTGGGTGAAACTTCACGATCCGGTGATTCTGGCGGACTGTCGACAATGAAGGTTTCCTGTTGTTCCGATATGATTAAAGCACGTTCTGCAAAATATTAAATAAAAAATAATTATTATTAAATCATTTATTTCAACTGCAAAAAAATAACTTACGAAATTGTCTAGCTAATTGCTCCATAGTAGGATCAATATAATTTTTAGCCTTTTTATAAAAGAATCGAGTGCCCATGTTAAATTTTTGTATTTAGTTAACGATTTTTTAAAAATCTTTAGTTTTCTACAATCACAGTGTATGTCTTTTAGACAACTGATGTCTATATGACAAATTTCAAAACTATTTATACTATTTAAAACTAATCATCTCGCTAACTCAGGTACTAATTTTATTATTGCAGGATTATCTTTAGCGTTTTCCCAGAATTAAATATCTGCCAATATGTTCGCTTAATGCTAGCATATGTAAATTTTGCAGTGGGCTTATACTTTAATTCAGGTAAAAAAATAATAAACATTTATACCTAGTGTCAGTCAGGTGTTTCCAATCGTAAAAGATTATAAGCGCTAAGTTTAGGATAAGAAAGGTCTAATTAGTTAATAACTCAAGGAAAAGATAACATATGTAGAGAGATAAGAAAATACACACATAATTAACTTAACATCCCTTTGTAAATTGACCAGAAGCTGATAAAAGTAGACCCAGTAATTTTCCTTTCAAAATCAAAAACCAATTTTATTTTAAAATAACAAACTTTATCAGTAAAATTCTACCAGATCCTGTAGATCCTTAAATAACGCTCCAATCGACAAAACACTGAAAATTTGTGATCACTTATATTTTTCATGAAAAATATATTTTTATATGAAAAAACATAAAATAGGCTCTAAGTCCTTAAATAACGCTCCAATCGACAAAACAGTGAATATCTGTGATCACTCATATTTTCCATGAAAAATATATTTTTATATGAAAAACATAAAATAGGCTCTAAATCCTTAAATAATGCTCCAATCCACAAAACAGTGAAAATCTGTGATCACTCATATTTTCCATGCAAAATCGATTTTTATATGAAAAACATAAAATCGGCTCTAAATCCTTAAATAATGCTCCAATCCACAAAACAGTGAAAATCTGTGATCACTCATATTTTCAATGCAAAATCGATTTTTATATGAAAAACATAAAATCGGCTCTAAATCCTTAAATAACGCTCCAATCGACAAAACAGTGAATATCTGTGATCACTCATATTTTCCATGAAAAATATATTTTTATATGAAAAACATAAAATAGGCTCTAAATCCTTAAATAACGCTCCAATCGACAAAACAGTGAAAATCTGTGATCACTCATATTTTCCATAAGAAATCGATTTTTATATGAAAAACATAAAATCGGCTCTAAATCCTTAAATAACGCTCCAATCGACAAAACAGTGAAAATCTGTGATCACTCATATTTTCAATGCAAAATCGATTTTTATATGAAAAACATAAAATCGGCTCTAAATCTTTAAATAACGCTCCAATCGACAAAACAGTGAAAATCTGTGATCACTCATATTTTCCATAAGAAATCGATTTTTATATAAAAAACATAAAATCAGCTCTAAATAACTCCTATCTTCCATATGAAATAGATTTTTATATGAAAAACATAAAATCGGCTCTAATCCTTAAATAATGCTCCAATTAACAAAACAGTGAAAATCTGTGATCACTCATATTTTCCATGCAAAATCGATTTTTATATGAAAAACATAAAATCGGCTCTAAATCCTTAAATAACGCTCCAATCGACAAAACAGTGAAAATCTGTGATCACTCATATTTTCCATGAAAAATCGATTTTTATATAAAAAACATAAAATCGGCTCTAAATCCTTAAATAATGCTCCAATCCACAAAACAGTGAAAATCTGTGATCACTCATATTTTCCATGCAAAATCGATTTTTATATGAAAAACATAAAATCGGCTCTAAATCCTTAAATAATGCTCCAATCCACAAAACAGTGAAAATCTGTGATCACTCATATTTTCAATGCAAAATCGATTTTTATATGAAAAACATAAAATCGGCTCTAAATCCTTAAATAACGCTCCAATCGACAAAACAGTGAATATCTGTGATCACTCATATTTTCCATGAAAAATATATTTTTATATGAAAAACATAAAATAGGCTCTAAATCCTTAAATAACGCTCCAATCGACAAAACAGTGAAAATCTGTGATCACTCATATTTTCCATAAGAAATCAATTTTTATATCAAAAACATTATATGAAAAACATAGAAAAAATTGGCTCTAAATCCTTAAATAACGCTCCAATCGACAAAACAATGAAAATTTGTGATCACTCATATTTTCAATGAAAAATCGATTTTTATATCAAAAACATAAAATCGGCTCTAAATCCTTAAATAACGCTCCAATCGACAAAACAGTGAAAATCTGTGATCACTCATATTTTCCATGAAAAATAGATTTTTATATGAAAAACATAAAATCGGCTCTAAATCCTTAAATAACGCTCCAATCAACAAAACAAATAAAATCGGCTCTAAATCCTTAAATAACGCTCCAATCGACAAAACAGTGAAAATCACTCATATTTTCCATAAGAAATCGATTTTTATATAAAAAACATAAAATCGGCTCTAAATCCTTAAATAACGCTCCAATCGACAAAACAGTGGAAATCTGTGATCACTCATATTTTCCAGAAGAAATCGATTTTTATATGAAAAACATAAAATCGATTTCTTATGGAAAATATGAGTGATCACAGATTTTCACTGTTTTGTCGATTGGAGCGTTATTTAAAGATTTAGAGCCGATTTTATGTTTTTCATATAAAAATCGACAAAACAGTGAAAATCTGTGATCACTCATATTTTTCATAAGAAATCGATTTTTATATAAAAAACATAAAATCAGCTCTAAATAACTCCTATCTTCCATATGAAATAGATTTTTATATGAAAAACATAAAATCGGCTCTAATCCTTAAATAATGCTCCAATTAACAAAACAGTGAAAATCTGTGATCACTCATATTTTCCATGAAAAATCGATTTTTATATGAAAAACATAAAATCGGCTCTAAATCCTTAAATAACGCTCCAATCGACAAAACAGTGAAAATCTGTGATCACTCATATTCTCAATGCAAAATCGATTTTTACATGAAAAACATAAAATCGGCTCTAAATCCTTAAATAACGCTCCAATCGACAAAACAGTGAAAATCTGTGATCACTCATATTTTCCATGAAAAATAGATTTTTATATGAAAAACATAAAATCGGCTCTAAATCCTTAAATAACGCTCCAATCAACAAAACAATGAAAATCTGTGATCACTCATATTTTCAATGCAAAATCGATTTTTATATCAAAAACATAAAATCGGCTCTAAAACCTTAATAACGCTCCAATCGACAAAACAGTGAAAATCTGTGATCACTCATATTTTCAATGCAAAATCGATTTTTACATGAAAAACATAAAATCGGCTCTAAATCCTTAAATAACGCTCCAATCGACAAAACAGTGAAAATCTGTGATCACTCATATTTTCCATGAAAAATCGATTTTTATATGAAAAACATTAAATCGGCTCTAAAACCTTAAATAACGCTCCAATCGACAAAACAGTGAAAATCTGCGATCACTCATATTTTCCATGAAAAATCGATTTTTATATGAAAAACATAAAATCGGCTCTAAAACCTTAAATAACGCTCCAATCGACAAAACAGTGAAAATCTGTGATCACTCATATTTTCCATGAAAAATCGATTTTTATATGAAAATCATAAAATCGGCTCTAAATCCTTAAATAACGCTCCAATCGACAAAACAGTGAAAATCTGTGAAAAATCGGCTCTAAATCCTTAAATAACGCTTCAATCGACAAAACAGTGAAAATCTGTGATCACTCATATTATCAATGCAAAATCGATTTTTATATGAAAAATATAAAATCGGCTCTAAATCCTTAAATAACGCTCCAATCGACAAAACAGTGAAAATCTGTGATCACTCATATTTTCAATGCAAAATCGATTTTTACATGAAAAACATAAAATCGGCTCTAAATCCTTAAATAACGCTCCAATCGACAAAACAGTGAAAATCTGTGATCACTCATATTTTCAATGCAAAATCGATTTTTACATGAAAAACATAAAATCGGCTCTAAATCCTTAAATAACGCTCCAATCGACAAAACAGTGAAAATCTGTGATCACTCATATTTTCAATGCAAAATCGATTTTTACATGAAAAACATAAAATCGGCTCTAAATCCTTAAATAACGCTCCAATCGACAAGACAGTGAAAATCTGTGATCACTCATATTTTCAATGCAAAATCGATTTTTATATGAAAAACATAAAATCGGCTCTAAATCCTTAAATAACGCTCCAATCGACAAAACAGTGAAAATCTGTGATCACTCATATTTTCCATGCTAAATCGATTTTTACATGACATAAAATCGGCTCTAAATCCTTAAATAACGCTCCAATCGACAAAACAGTGAAAATCTGTGATCACTCATATTTTCAATGCAAAATCGATTTTTATATGAAAAACATAAATCTGCTCTAAATCCTTAAATAACGCTCCAATCGACAAAACAGTGAAAATCTGTGATCACTCATATTTTCAATGCAAAATCGATTTTTATATGAAAAACATAAAATCTGCTCTAAATCCTTAAATAACGCTCCAATCGACAAAACAGTGAAAATCTGTGAAAAATCGGCTCTAAATCCTTAAATAACGCTCCAATCGACAAAACAGTGAAGATCTGTGATCACTCATATTTTCAATGCAAAATCGATTTTTACATGAAAAACATAAAATCGGCTCTAAATCCTTAAATAGCGCTCCAATCGACAAAACAGTGAAAATCTGTGATCACTCATATTTTCAATGCAAAATCGATTTTTACATGAAAAACATAAAATCGGCTCTAAATCCTTAAATAACGCTCCAATCGACAAAACAGTGAAAATCTGTGATCACTCATATTTTCCATGAAAAATCGATTTTTATATGAAAAACATAAA